TCCCTCTTTTGGTATTCACACCTCCCCATCTATTGCTGGGAGTGAAACACATCCACCCTGTCTGAATTGGCTTGCTAATACACCAGCCTCTGTGATTTCCACTCCATGCATCTGATGAACTGGTTTTTATCCACATAAGCTTAAGCCCAAATAAATCTTTAAGGTGCCACAGGACTCCACAATGTTTTTGCAGATACAGACTAACATGGCTACTCCTCTGAGATTTAAGAAGATTATGGGAGATTTCAGTCTTTTGGTATTGGGGGCAATCAGTGGAGGGGATTTTTTCCTGGGGGAAATTTCAATGTGTTTGTTTTACAGGAAAATGTTTACTTTAAACATGTTATGAAACATTCCAGAAATTGGTTTGATGGGATAATTTTACATTGGAGGCATGCTTTTCTCCTTTGGAAAATTTTGGAATTTTTGTTATACAGGAATTTTTTATCTTTTTAAATAATTATTTTCTGTGGGAAATGTTGGAATGTTTGATAGGAAATTTTGTTTTTTTACTTTTGTGTGAAATTTCAGAATTTTTTTTAGCAGGGCTACTCAACATGTGGCCTGTGACCTGTTTATTTGTGGCCCCTGGTGCAGTTTGGGTTTACATGGGGCTCAACATCCGGCCTGTGGGTGGGATCCTTGGAACATGGCCTCCACTGGGAACACGCTTCACAACATGATACAGTTCTGTGGTGATCTGGAAGCCTACTTTCGCTGTCTCCATCTCAAGGAATACTTCCAACACAACACTGAACAGTGCACTGACACACAGATACCTTCCCACCAACAGCACAAGAAGAAGAACTCCATATGGACACCTCCTGTGGGTCGAAATGACAGTCTGGACCACTACATATGTAAGGGGACTGTTAGCCCCTTATACTCTGTGGGAGTTTTTTATCATAGAATAATAGGACTGGAAGGGACCTCGAGAGGTCATTGAGTCCAGCCCCCCGCCCTCAAGGCAGGATCAAGCTCCGTCTACACCATCCCTGACAGATGTCTATCTAACCTGTTCTTAAATATCTCCAGAGAGGGAGATTCCACCACCTCCCTTGGCAATTTATTCCAATATTTGACCACCCTGACAGTTAGGAATTTTTTCCTAATGTCCAATCTAAACCTCCCCTGCTGCACTTTAAGCTGCACTTTAAGCCCATTACTCCTTGTCCTGTCCTCAGAAAGGTTAATATGAATAACCTTATAACAAAATCCCCAATCGGTAAAATCTCTGAGGTTGTCTTGGAGTAAGAGGACAATGTCTCATAGTTTCTGTCCTATATATCTGAACATTGTAGAGTAAGATTCATGTAGGAAGAATGGCCATGAAGAGGAAAAATAATGCTGATACCAATGAAGCTAACTGTCTGATAGGTGAGACTTGGGAAGTAGAATTACTGTACCCAGTGCCAGGAAAACTGGGAAACAAACAGTGCTGGAAATGAAAACAGATATTATAGGAATATCAGAAACATAATGCAATAACATCATGACTGGGGTACCTGTATCAAAAGGTATGTACTGGTCAGGAATGTCAGAAATACAGGCAAAGATGATGGAGTAGCATTATATACTAAAGAGAAGGAGACTGTAAGCAAACTAGAAGTCTGTTCAAGCCAAAATTGCTCTAGAGAAGAAAGCTACTAACGGTTCCTCTAGGATGGTTGTTTGGGTATGCTACACACCCCCAGGATCCAATTTTGATACGCATATAAATCTCTTTAAAGTTTCTAATGACACCTTTTAAGCTGCATTGCTCATTATGGGTATGTCTACACTTGCTCCCTAGTTCGGGCTAGGGATGCAAATGTAGCCGACCGAAATCTTTCCACTTGCCAGCTGATTTGAACCAGGAAGTGCACTCTCCGGGATGCATTAGTTCAAATCAAACCCCTTGGCTCAAACTAACGTTACTCCTCATTTTTTGAGGCAAGTGATGCTGTTTTTCCACAATTTCTGCCTGTGCACGTCGGTGGAAGCATTCTATGTATAGGTCCAAACCTATACATAGAATTATAGTCTGGACCTATACATAGAATGCTTCTGTCGATGTTCACAGGCAGAAATTGTGGAAAAACAGCATTGCTTGCCTCATAACCTCAGTCGTGCAGAACGCAATGCCATCAACAGCCCCAGAAACAACTCTGACATTATAATCAAAGAGGCTGATAAAGGAGATGCTGTTGTCATCATGAACAGGTCTGACTACATTGATGACATCATCATCATCTGGACCCATGGGAAGGAGACTCTGGAAGAATTCCACCACTAATTCAACAGCTTCCATCACACCATCAACCTCAGCCTAGACCAGTCTACACAAGAGATCCACTTTCTGAACACCACAGTGCAAATAAGTGACAGTCACATAAACGCCACCCTATACCAGAAACCTACCAACCACTATGCCTACCTTCATGCCTCCAGCTTCCATCCCAGACACACCACATGATCCATTGTCTACAACCAAGCACTAAGGTAAAACCGCATCTGCTCCAACCCCTCAGACAGAGACCAACACCCACAAGATCTTCACCAAGCATCCTTGAAACTACGATACCCAGATATTGTCAGATATTAGGAATGGCAATATACAAAAACCTGTAGGAGGACACTTCAATCTCCCTGGACACACAATAGCAGATTTAAAGGTAGTCATCCTGCAGCAAAAAAACTTCAAGACCAGACTTCAAAGAAAAACTGCTGAGCTACAGTTCATCTGCAAATTT